GTTTTTCACTTACAACAGTTCATTTAGTGACCACTCAAAGTTACAACGGCACTGAAAAATGTTTTTCATGCTTACAACTGTTGCAGCATCCCCATGGTCACAGGATTAAAATTCAGATGTTTGGCAACAGACTCATACCTATGACCATTGCAATGCCCCAGGGTCCTACTGACAAGCAAAGTCAATGGGGAAGCAATTGGTTATTCACTGAGATTCGCTTAACAATGATGGCAAGAAAGGTCATAGAATGGGGCAAAACTCACTTAACAAATATTTTGGGCTCAATTGGGGTCGTAAGACAAGGACTACCTGTAATGTCGGGTAGAGCCTTAGTGATTTCACTTGCCTTGCCTGGAATCAAAATTAGGGGGGGAAATAATATTTAAATGCTAGAACCCTTTGATGACTTCAGCTTCTGCCATTCATGGACTGAAGATGAAATGAAAACAATATGATGGGGACATGTCAGTGGTGGGATTCAATTTTTTTTTAATATCGATTCTGTGCGCATAGTTTGGTGAGTGTGGCGTGGCTTGGCGGGCATGGCAGGTTACTGCAAAATCCCCGTTCCCTCCCCACCCCACTAACCTGCTTTCCAACTCTGTTCTCCTGTGCAGGGCAACCAAAGAAGACCCAGCCGATCAGCTGGGACTCGGGAGGCAGAGAAGAGATGGGGGCGGGGCCAGTCAGAGGTGGTATTTGTCAGTTCTCTGAACTACTCAAAATTTCTGCTACAGGTTCTCCAGAACTGATCAGAACCTGCTGAATACCACCTCTGGGACATGTCATGCTGGCTGGGGAATTCTGGGAGTTAAAATCCAAACATCTTAAATGTGTCCAAAGTAAAGAAACACTGATATGGATCAAAGCCCCGCCCCTTTTCAATGTCCCTCAAAAGAGGCAGGACTTCCAATCCTCCATCTTGGTTTGTTTGATTCTCTTGCTGTGGTGCTAAACATCAGATCAGGCCATCTGTGACCTGGCACTTCTAGACACATTGGAACTTCAACTCCCAGAATTCCTGGCCCATTCCACCTATCAGCCATTCAGAAAGAGAAGTTTGGGATACTGGGGTTAAAGCTATACAAGCAGTTTTATTTGTGAACAGTAATCATACAAATCAATTGGTAAAAAACAGATTTTGCTGCACTCAAAGGCAGCTGATACAGATACATGATACTGTAGAAAATTAAAACCAGTGTTTTTCAACCTTGACAACTTTAAGAAGTGTGAACTTCTTAAATTAAATGGTTGTGTGACCACAAACAGATTAATATGACAAATTTAATTGGTGCCAGTCTAGTGTGTAATATGTATATACCATGATATAAGATCATCCACGAGTAATATACATGTTACACAGAATATGACGTACATATGGAAACGTATGACTAGTTTTTTTTCCCCTAACTACTTGTATACATGATGTACAATGACAATAAAGGCTTTGAACTTTAACTCCCAGAACTCCTCAGCCAGTGTTATTCATCGGGCAATTCTGGGAATTGAAATGGAAGTTTGCTAAGATTGAGAAACAGATTAAGAAAGCATGCATTATTATGGTCTTTATTATGGTCTCTGCTGCCATCATGTGGCAGTTATGTGCCTTTGCATAATGTTCCTCTATGCTTTACTATCCTAGTAGGAGAGCACACCATCTGGGCAAGGAAAAATTCCACAGGGCTGCGAGTTCACTTGTTTCAAGAGCATCTTCGGGTTCCCAAACCACAAAATTGGGCATTTATTGGCAGTGAATATCCAGTGACTGTCTTAGCATAACATGCTAAGCTTGCTTAGTTTGAACACTGGATATTTTTTCATAGTTTACGCTGTGTTAAGCAAGGCCACTCTGTAGTTATTAGACTTTTTTTATCCTGCATTTCTCTTAGAAGCTTTAATACAGGTAGTCCTCGACTTACAACCATTTACTTAGCAACTGTTCAAGGTTGCAACTGCACTCAAAAAAGTGATTTATGACCTTTCCTCACACATACAATTGTTGCAGCATCCCCACAAATGGGACCAGAATTTCTACTGCTAAGTGTACTCAATTTTACAACATTTTTGCCATAGTTGTTATGCGAATCACTGTAGCTGGTAAATGGATCATGCAGTCATTGAGTGAATCTGGCTTCTCCCATTGCTTTTGCTTGTTGTATTATTTAGCACAGGGGTCTCCAAACTGCAATCCATGGACCAGCCCTGGTCTGCAGCATGCCAGAAACCAGGCCATGCAAATAAGTGAAGCCCCATCCGTGGGATGCAGGCAGTAGATGAAACCATGCCCCATCTGGTCCATGGAAAAAAAAACACTCTCCACGGAATCAGAATAGAATAGAATAGAATAGAATAGAATAGAATAGAATAGAATAGAATAGAATTCTTTATTGTCCAAGTGTGATTGGACACACAAGGAATTTGTCTTGATGCAAATGCTCTCAGTGTACATAAAACAAAAAATACATTCATCAAGAGTCAAGAATCATCAGGTATAACAATAGTCATAGGCATGTTATAACCATCATAAATGAATTCTAAGTGCCAAGTGCCCAAATTTTGATCCTGTGACCCTGGGGATGCTACAGTGGTTATAAGTGCAAGAACCAGTCGTAAGTCACTTTTTTATGGCCTTTTAACTTCAAATAGTGGTTCAACAAATAGTTACAAGGACTACCTGTATAGAAAGGTGACTTCACCCCCACCCACCCCAATTCAATTTCTCTTTATCCAAGTGAATCAAAAGAGGAGCCCATATTACTTTTATCTGCCATGCAAGTGACTGAAAACTGAAGTATGATTTATTTATTTTTTTGTGGTTAAAAAGACAGTATGGTGCAACCACTCAAGTGTAGATTCATCCAATGATGGCTTTCTGGAATGAAGATCTTAGGAAAGCTCACAATAGAAGCTCTGTTCGTGTGCCCTGCGGCTAACAACAGGTAAAAAGAAACTCCAGAAATGTCCAAATTGTTGCCAAACCAATAGGAGCTCCTTTCTTTCAAATCAGGCCACATTTGAGCAGCAGGAGCAGAGATTGAAAACAAGGGATTATTTGAAATCTGAAGCCTTAGGAAGATGAAGAGAATAAATCCTATTGCCTTGGGCTCCTCTCACCAAATAACAATTCAGTTTCATAAGGTAAATTACAGAGTTGGGCTGCAGAAATGTGCAAATATTATATTTAGATCCACCTATGGTGATAATTACAGGGGTGAAAAGATGCACCTTGCATCTAAGGACATTTTTATGGGGAGAATCTCCTGGATGGATGGATGGATGGATGATGGATGGATGGATGGATGGATGGATGGATGGATGGATGGGAGGGAGGGAGGGAGGGAGGGAGGGAGGAAACAGAATAAAAAGGGAACAAGGCAAGGAAGGAAAGAGGGAGGAGGGAGAGAGGGAGGAAAGAAAGAAAAACATGTGGAAGGGGAGATGGAAGCAGAAAGAGGAGAAAGAGAAGGAGAAAGAAAGAGAAGTCTTATAAATCCAATCCAAAATACATTGGCTTACAAATAAATTTACTAAAATTAACAGGACCTCCTTCTGAATTGACACAGAAATATGGAAGGGATGGTATTTTAATGACACCACAATCAGAGCTTTTATTTTTTTATTTTGCTTGCATGATTTTTTTCTTTTTAGGTTTTTGCCTTCAAATTCTTATTTCAGCCAACATCATGACATCCTAAACCCTACAGCTCCCTAATACTGTAGTAGAAGACTGAATTTTAAATAGAATAATTTAACAAAAACCTGAATTTAAAATAGCATTTTTGAACTGACAATTCCTTTCAGTTGCCTTTCCTTTAAAAAAAACTATCTCTTTTTTATATCTTGCTGCATTTTACCTGCTTCCAATTCAATTGCCTGCCATCACTGTGTTAAGATGATATCCCCGCATCTTTATTTCAGTTAGTCCTTAACTTGCTATCACAATTTGACAGAATTTCTGTTGCTAAGCAAGGCAGTTTTTAAGTGATTTAAGTGATGTCTGATTTTTGCCACAATTAAGAGAATTACTAAAGTTGTTAAATGAGCCTGGTTTCCCCCATTAAGGCTACTGACTGCCGGCCGCCTGCAATTTGGCAGAGCAAATCCCACCAGGCTCAAGATTGACTCAGCCTTCCATCCTTGCAAGGCTGGTAAAATGAGGATGCAGATAGTTTGGGGCAATATGCTGACTCTGTAAATCACTTAGAGAGGACTATAAAGCACTATAAAGCAGTATAAGTGCTATTGCTATTAACGTTGCTTGTTTGAACCAGCTGGGCAATCCCATGATCCTGGCATGCCACAACCAGCTGATTGCTATGTAACCTGAATTTTTATCACATAACCATGGGGATGTTACAATGGTCATAAGCATGACGACCAGTTATGTGTCTCTTTTTTTAGTGCCACTGTAACTTTGAATAGTTGCTAAATGAATGGTTATATGTCAAGGTCTACATGTATTGTAATGAATTTAAGGTTGGTCTTCTAAACCAGGGTTGTCAAACTCAAGGCCCAGGGGGCGGATCCAGCCTGCAGAGTGCTTAGATCTGGCTTGCAGGGCTACCCTGGAAACAGCAAAGGATCAGCCCGCAGTGCTCTGCCAGTGAAAACAGAGCTTGGGAGGGCTGCGTGCAGCTCTCCCAAGCTCCGTTTTTGCTGGCAGAGGGTTGCAGGAGGCCATTGCAGCCTAAAATGGAGCTTGGGAGTGCAGAGCACTTGGGCCACCACAGGCGCCCTCAACATGAGTGACGTCAAGCTGGCCACACCCACTCCACCCCCCACCCCCCCAAGATCAAACACAACCCTGATGCGGCCCTCAGTGAAATAGAGTTTGACACGCCTGTTCTAAAGAGATATATTCACACACAAAAAATCTGTTTAATTCAATGGTACATCATGCTTAAAACTGTATTGTAAAAGATAACATGTTAACTATAACTCTCTCCTGTTCTGCAACTTTCAGATTAAGCCAATTTCATTTTTCCAGATGCTGTTTTTTGTGTTTCTTTCCCTTTTTTGTGCTGAAGTGTCAACTACTTCAGGTAAGCTCTAGCTGGCTGGCTGGGGAATGCTGGGAGTTGAAGTCCACACATCTTCAAACTGCCTAGGTTGAAAAACATAGATCTAGAAACACTCTCACTGAATTCTATCCAATGCCTGAGGAATAAGAATTGTAGAAAATTGTGATAATTTGCACTTAGAAAGGTGTGTTTGTATACATGTGGATTTTTTCTCATGTAGCTTTTTCTCTGTAATATTACACTACTAACTAGAGCATACAAAACATTTGCTAGACCAATACTCGAATACAGCTCATCAGTTTGGAACCCACATTACGTATCTCATATTAACACAGTTGAGAAAGTTCAGAAATATTTCACAAGAAGAGTTCTCCACTCCTCTACTTGTTGCAGAATACCTTATGCCAGAGGTCTTCAAACTTGATAGCTTTAAAAAGTATGGACTTCAACTCCCAGAATTTCTCCTCCTCCAGCCATGGTGGCTCGGGAATTCTGGGAGTTGAAGTCCACAAGTCTTAAACTTGCCAAGTTTGAAGACCCTTGCCTTATGCCACCAGACTCGAAATTCTAGACCTAGAAAACTTAGAACTACGCCGCCTTCGGTCCGATCTAAGTATAGTATATAAAATCATACATTGCAATGTCCTACCTGTCAACCATAACAATACAAGAGCAAACAATAGATACAAACTCAAGGTTAATCGCACCAAACTTGATTGCAGGAAATAGGACTTCCGCAACAGAGTGGTCAATGTCTGGAATACTCTACCTGACTCTGTGGTTTCTTCCCCAAACCCCAAAAACTTTAACCTTAGACTTTCTACTATTGACCTCACCCCCTTCCTAAGAGGCCTATAGGGGGCGTGCATAAGCGCATCAATCATGCCTACCGTCCCTGTCCTATTACTTCTTTTATTTTTCTTATATGTATCCATGTATTCATAACTATGTTTTTACTTATACCTATAATCTTGTAAGCAATTGACAAACCAAATAAAATAAATAAAAATAAAATAAAAATGTCAATTGCAAGGACCAGATGTGTACTGTAGGCAAAAGTTAGAGGCAGCCCCCCCCCCCCAACCTATATGTTAAAAGCATAGAGATTTGGAAAATACACATTAAAACTTTATATTTTTATGCAGATTTATAAGGCTTAAACACTGTGACTGCATGATGAACAACCCCAAAAAACAATAAAATAGAATTAAATATATTTTTTTATTGGCCAAGTGTGATTGGATACACAAGGAATTTGTCTTTGGTACATATGCTCTCAGTGTATATAAGAAAAAATAAAATACATTCTATTAAAACAATAAAACAAACAATAAACAAAAAAGCACACCCCCAGACCATATAACTTTAAAACATGTGCATTGTATAAGATCCAAAATATACAATGACAATTAAGCATACTGTATAAGAGAGCAACTAAAGGGAATTCTTCTGTTTGCCCCTAAAGCTTGAGGGAATGGCCAGGTTTAACAGCTCTTTAAGGTGAGGATAACAGATAACAGATAATCAGAGTTGGAAGGGACCTTGTAGGTCATCTAGTCCAACCCCCCGCCCAAGAGGGAGACCCTACACCATTTCTGACAAATGGCAGTCCAAGGAGAATTGAGGCTTATCCAAATAACAGAGCAACCACAGAAAAAGCATATTTTCTAGGTCTCCTAATATTGCAAGATTTAAGAGAAGGAACCCGTTACCTATTTAATTAGAAAAGTATTGGTTAAGCAGTTTTTCCCAGCCAGCAATATATGGATAATTGTAGCAGATCTGAGTTACAAGGGCTGGCCAAAAAAGATATAATTTGAATTAAATCACTAATTGATTGCATAGATCTCTACAATTACAGGACAGGATTAAATGATTAAAAATGGGTTTGAAAATTGTAATTCTAATGTAATACTAGTTTAGTAGCCAATCTTGTAGTTTAGTATACAAATCCTTTAATCCCAAATATTAATAGATGGCTAACCCAATTCTCAACATGGGTCTTCATTCCCACGCATTTCAATTCTCTTCTGCCTCAGCTAAAGGAAGCATCTGATTGGCCTTATATGGACTAAGAAGCCAAACAGGCTCCATGATGACTCATATAAAATTTCACTACAGGATATGTTTTAAATTTCTTTTTTCTCTCTCTCTCATTTTCTCTGTGAGTAAATCTAAAGCAAAGCATCAGCTTATAGTCCTGATATGTACAACAGCTTTGTAAATACATCTGCAGAGGTTACTAGCCAAAGAAAAATAAAAAACTAGCCAACCAATAATTTATATTATTTATAAATAATACTTATAATGTGCCCCCAGAGTATGGTCCAACTGTTATCAAAAATTAAAAGTAAATTTTAGTTAAAATGGTACATAAGCAACAACTTCAAGATATACCATGATAGATTTATATAGTAGAAAGAACATTTATACCATTATAAAATCCTAAATTTATAATCCTGACAACCGTTATCTCACTTTGCTTGTACATGTAATCCTTATGACTTTAATGAAACCCAGAGTTTCAGTCACAAATTGTTGCAGTCATAAGTGAAAACAACACATGACAACTCAATTGGATGACCATTTTTACAATGGTCAGTAAACTAAGTCTCCATGGCTGCCAAGCAAATCCAGCATACTCAGTAAGTGTTTGTTGTGTTTTCTGCAAAAAGTCATAAGACTGCAGGATGCTGCAACCAGTTATAAATGGGAGTTCGTTGCCAAGATCCTAAAATGTGTTCTTGTGACTTCAGAGGATATCAGTAGTGGGATTCAAATAATTTAACAACAGGTTCTCTGCCCTAATGATTTATTCCAACAACCAGTTCCCCAAACTGCTCAGAAAGTTAACAACCAATTCTCCCGAAGTGGTGTGAACTAGCTGAATCCCACCACTGGAAGATGGGTGGTAGTTGTAATTTGGAAGATAGGTCATAAGTGGCTGTTTTGAAGTTTGTCGTAACTTCAGACAATTGTTAAGAGACTGGTTGTAAATTGATGATTCCTGGTAAGATTTACAAAAGGGGGAAAAAAACCCAGCATTTCTCAACCATGGCAACTTTAAGATGGGTGAACTTCAACTCCCAGAATTCCACAGCCAGCATGCTGATCTAACTCTTAGCCATCATTCTCAATAATCATTCACAACCACCTCTATTGATTCACCTTCTTTATTAAATAAATACATTTTCAAACATTAATGGTGTTGCTTTGTTTTGAATTTGAGTTTCAGTAGAACATATAACTTCTTCAATAATATTTGAGCTCCTCGAGGATGGGAAGTTAGAGCAGGAATCTGCAAGAGGACTTCCTATCTCTAGCAGTCTTCCTTCACCAGCCTATGTGATTGTTTGTATGGGACACTAGTTCCCCTCTGAGTGATCATGTCTATATACACATACAAGGCTGTTTAATCAGGGGACACAAAATGGGATACAGCTTCATGAGCTATTCTGCAGGGGCATAGAAAGATCAGGAATGGATTGGTTGATTGAATAACTTGTTCAATTAATTGGTTCTCCTTCTTCTTTATGGATCCAGACCAGAGAAAGTTTTCTTCCTACTCTGGGGAATATGGTGGTAATGGTGGAGACTATTTTGATCAGTCCAGCAACCAGTTTGAAGGCCCTATATCAGCGATGAAAATAAGGTCAAATGACAGAGGTATACTAAGGTATGCATATCTACATGAACCGTATATAGCTGGGCTTTAACTTGAAAGCTAAAAAATATGAATCAACTGAGGAGAGCATAAATAACCCAAATGTGGAAATGGTTTATTGATAATTGATTGACTAATCAGTCAATAAGCTATTTATATGTGAAAAGACATGTCTAAGGGCTGCAGATCGTATCTAAAGTACATACCTAGATCAATACTGAAGGAAAATAGTATTTCTGAAATCTCAGCAACATGAAGATGAATGGACTTCAACTCCCAGAATTCTCCAGTCAGCATAGCTGGTTGGGAATTCTGGGAATTGAAATCCACAGATCTTCAAGTTGCCAAGGTGAAGAAACACTATTCTGGAACCATTTCCTAGCTCTTCTTCATTCTGGGTAAGATGACAGAAGTGTAGGTGAAAGACCTTTTCCCTTTCTACGGAGGTCTGCTGGGATGAGCATCATCAATAAAAGAGAATATATGTAGTTCAGTGTTGAACTGAGGGATCCTTGGTGCTTTTTGAGCATGCTTGTTTTCTTGCAGACATTTCATGACCCAACTAGGTAACACCATCAGTGCTGCCTGTAATACTGATGACGTTACTTAATTTGGATAATGAAACACCTGCAAGGAAACAAACAAGAGAGCACCAAGGACCCCTCCTGAGTATCATTATTAATTTCCATTTAAGGTGATTCTACACCTAACATCATCTTTCTCTTGTTAATGCAGCATCCAGGTTTGCTATGGTGGCATATGGTCCAATAATGAAGGAAATACAGCAGGCCGCCCCTTGGACATGCACCTGTCCTTTGGGGAGGGATTGGTGCAGGTGAACGGCCGTTTCGGAAACACTGTGGAATACCTGGCCTTCCGCACCAATATGGGCCATGTCTTTGCCTTTGGGCCAAATTCTGGTTTGGGATTGCCATTCACCGCAGAGCCTTCGCACCCCAACACAGTTCTGAGGTTCATCAGTGGGAGGTCAGGATCGATGGTCAATGCCCTCGGTTTCCACTGGGATGAAGATCAATGGATGAAAGGGTGGAATGAATCCGTCCGCTCTCCAGATCCACCACCAGTGACCCAGATATAGATCGCTCTACCTTTAATCCTCACCCTTAAAACCAATACAAATGCTACACAATCTCTTTTGTTGTTTTCCTTTGGATCTTGGGGGAGGAGAAGAGGGAAGGACAGGGAGTAATACACTTTTGCTGTTAATACCCTGATTTTGATAGTCCCTACTTTCACCATTAAAAGTTGTTGAGCTCAAATCATGGATGAAAGCACTGAGAAAGTATAGGTCGTCCTGACTTACGACCACCATTGAGCCTAACATTTCTGTTGCTAAGTGAGATACTTGTTAAGCGAGTTGTCCCATTTTACGACCTTTCTGGCCACAGTTGTTAAGAGAACCACTGAAGTTGTTAAGTTAGTAAGAGGGTTGTTAAGTGAATCTGGCTTCCTCATTGACTTTGCTTGTCAAGGGATACTGCATAAATATGAGTCAGTCTCCAAGCATCTGAATTTTGATGACAAGACCGTGGGGATGCTGCAACCGTCATAAGTGTGAAAATTGTCATAAGTAACTTATTTCAGTGCCGTTGGAAGTTCGAATGGTCACTAAATGAACTGCTGTAAGTCAAAGACTGCCTATATCTTGAAAAAAAATAGATTAATACCTGTAATATATAGTTACGCCTTGATTTACAGCCATACATTTAGTCATCATCATTCAGAGTTAGGGCTAGGGTTAGGGTTACTAGTCCTCACACTTACAATCATCATCACATTCACATGATCAAAATTTGGACACTTGGCAACCGGCGTTTTTACAATGGTTGCAGCATCCTGGGGTTGTTTTATTGCCATTTGTAACCTTCCCAGCCAACTTTTGACAAGGTAAGTCAATGGTGAAAGCTGGATGTGTTTAACAACCAGGTGATTCGTTTGATAACTGCACTGATTTGTTTAACAAACATTTCACAAAAAGGTCAAAAAAGTAGGCATGACTCACTTGCTTAGAGCAATGGAATATCTGGGCCCAATTTTGGCTGTAAGTCAGGGACCACAGTAATCTTATCTTCTGCATGTCTAACTCTATCCAGAGACCCTGGAACCTACAGAAAAGATGGACAGTGTTCCCTGAAATACATTTGCTCAGCTCATCCAGTAGATGTCGTGGGAAGAAGGAATAACCTTGAGGAACAGGGGGAAGAGATGCAACCAGGGCAATAGATAAAAGTAACCTGGATCTGGGCAGAACTGTAACATGAGAAAGCGTCTCAGACAAAATCTCATGAAGATAAAGAGAGGGAGAGGGAAAGGGTATTCAGATTTGCAAGATTCTGTAACTGTAACCTTATAATAAAAGCAGGATTAATATTCATAACTTTGTTTCCTGGTCTGGTCTGCTTTGAAGGGCTGACAATAAGGTACAGGGTTTGGCTAAGGGCTCCTCGTGATCTAGTACAAGCTCTGGATCCACACAAAATCTCCATCCTGATGCTAGAATGCATCCACACCTTTGATCTCACGCTCTTCAAAAGCATTACAATCTGATCGGGATAAGATGCAGCTATCCAAAGTTTCCAAAGCAGGGTGAGGCATAAAATTAAAATTGAAACATGATTTGAAAAAGAGAAAATAAATTTGGCAATGGTATCTAATGGATAGATAGAAATGATAGACAGAGGGAGATCACAGATGATGGATGGATGGATGGATGGATGGATGGATGGGTAGATATAGACAAACAGACAGATTTGGAAGCAAATCAGCAGGCCTATATTGAGGAATCAAGTCATTAATTGGGTTTTTGCTATAAAACTACAGACCTGGGTTGCAAATATCTGGTTCTTTTGTGTGAGTGCGTGTGCAAGTACACATAACTTCAACTCAATTTTTGACTCCTACTCAGGGATGGGATGCTCCTGGTTTGGTCTGGTTCTGTAGAACTGGTAGCTCTGAAGGACAGCAGATACCAAACCGGTTCGGTGCAACGACCTTTTCGGTTGTCTGATTGGCCCACCCACCTACCCTGGCTCTTGGCTGTCCTTTATTTCCTGCTTTTTCAACCTCAGTTGCTTTGTGTGGCGCAGCTGAGATTGAAAAAGCAGGAAGAAAGAGGCTTGCCAAATGCTACACATCTGTGCGCAGCACTTCTCAGCTGTCCAGATAGCAAAGCTGATGTTTAATTGCTTTATACACGCGCATAGCACTCTGACCGAACCGGTAGTAACACAGGTTGAATCCCACCCCTGCTCCTATTGACGGCCTGGACAGGTCCCTGCAGTTTTTTGGGGAAGTAGTTTGCCATTGTCTGCGCCCTAGGGCTGAGGGAGGAAGACTGGCTTAATATCACTAAGCAGGCATTATACCTAAGTTGGGACTAGAACTCTTGGTTTTTAGCCTAGTGCCTTTAACTACTCCATATAAGTAGTCCTCAACTTGGAACCACAATTGAGCCCAAAATTTCTGTTGGTAAGCAAGACAGTTGTTAAGTTTGTCAAATGGACTTTTGCCCCATTTTATGCCTTTCTTGCCACAGTTCTTAAGTGAATCATTGCAGTTCTTAAGGTAGTAACATGTCGTTGTTAAGTGAATCTTGACTTTGCTTGTGAGGTCACAAAAATTGATCACTTAACCCCAGGACACTTGCAACCATGGAGATGCTGTAACGGTTGTTAAGTGTGAAAAATGATCATGTCACTTTATCAATGCTGTTGTTAACTTCGAAAGGTCACTAAACAAATGGCTGTAAATCAAGGACTACCTGTACTGTACATCAAACTAACACTCTTTGGTAGCCACTAGAGGGCAGCAAAGTTGGAAGTTTCTGTATCATTTTGTGCAGCCAGGAAAATGGCTGCCACCTCCGCTGAGGGTGCTCTGCCCCTTTAAGGCCTCTCTCCAACCCAGCCCAGCCGCCCAGCCACCAGCACTGTAAAAACAACAGAAGACAGCTGGGAGTGTGTGCGTGTGTGTTGTTGTGCAGTAGTTCCTGTGTTGGGAATTTTTCTGGGAATGAGAGGGGAGGTGGTTTCTGTTACTCTGCAGACATAGAATAAATGGAAGCAGCCTAGGGATACGAGAGAGGAGTGAGTCTACTATTGGTAGTAGGACCAGTGGTAGATCTGGGAGAGTGTGAGGGAAGGAATTGTGTTACCGCTTGTGTGTTTGTGAGTGAGTTGGCAGAAGGCTTGTGTTGGCTGATTGGGAACCCACTGAATTTGGATACCTAAAAGGATCTGTGACCCACTTGATTGTCTTCTAAGGGTTGCCTGTAATATCAAAGCCTAAATCTGGCAGCTCTGCACCCATGGCTGGGGAATTCTGGGAGTTGAAGTCCACCAGGCTTAAAGTTGCCACGGTTGGAGACCCCTGGTTTAGAGGAATACAGGTAATTATCCATTTACATCACTTCATTTAGTGATGTTTGATGTTACAACAACACTGAAAATATGACTTGAGTGTTTTTCACACTCAGAACAAGAGAATAACAAGAGTTGGGAGAAGAGGTGGCATTCAGCAGGTTCTGACCAGTTCTGGAGAACCGGCAGCGGAAATTTTGAGTAGTTTAGAGAACCGGCAAATCCCACTTCTGACTGGAGATTTTACAGTATCCTTCCCCTGCCACGCCCACCAAGCCATGCCCACAGAACCAGTAGTAAAAAAATTTGAATCCCACCACTGGTTGGGAGGGATCTTGTAGGTCATTTAGTCCAACCCCCTGCCCAAGCTGGAAATCCTACAGATGCTAGTCCAGTCTCTTCTTGAAAGCTTCCAGTAATGAAGCTCCCACAATTTCTGAAGGCAAGCTGTTGCATTGGTTGATTGTTCTTACTGTCAGAAAATCTCTCATTTCTAGGTTGAATCTCTCCTTGATTAGTTTCCATCCATTATTCCTTGACTGGTCTTCAGATGGAAAACAGGTTGCACCCCTCCTCTCTGTGACAGCTCTTCAAATATTGGAAGACCGCTATCATGTCCCCCATGGTCCTTCTTTTCATTAAACTAGACATATCCCGTTCCTGCAACCGTTCTTCATAGGTTTTACCCTCCAGTCCCCTAATCATCTCTGTTGCTCTTCTCTTTCTTTTCCTTTCTTTTTCTTCTCTTCTCTTTCTCTTTCTTTCTAGAATCTCAACTTCTTTTTTATCGCAACCCTCGCAGCTTCCCCATGTTCACACAATCAAAATTCAGACACTTGGCAACTGCCTTATGAAGATTGCCGTGTCCTGGGGTCATGTGATCACCTTTTGTGACCTTCCGACAAAGAAAGTCAATGAGGAAACCAAATTCACTTAGCAACCATGTTACTAATTTAACAACAGCAATGACTCATTTAACACTAGGGCAAGAAAGGTTGTATAATGGGACAAAACCCACTTAACAAATGTCTCATTTAGCAACATAAATTTTGAGCTCAAGTGTGGTCGTAAGTCGAGGGCTACCTGTTGTCTCTGGATAGCAGAAGAAGAAACTTCAGATTCTTGCTAGAAATCCTGATTGAAATGCTCTGCTAAGAGCAAACACACAAAGAGCTGGGGTACTCTCTGATGTGTGGATGATTTTGACACTGTGGGGTCCTTGGTATTCTCTGCGCTTGGTTGTTTTCTGGCAAACGCTTCATTACACAAGTAGGTAACGTCAGTGCTAGTGAGTATGAGTTTGCTCCCTATTTGTACACTTATTAGCACTGATGTTATTACCTAGTTGGGTAATGAAACGTCTGCAAAGAAACAACCATGCTCTCAGAGAGCACCAAGGATTCCACAGTTCAACCCTGAGGTACAGATATACTCAACTTACAACCAGTTGCGATCATGTGACTGAGTGTGAATAGAATAGAACCGAATAACAGAGTTGGAAGGGACCTTTGAGGTCTTCTAGTCCAACCCCCTGCTCAGGCAGGAAACCCTATACCATTTTAGACAAATGGTTGTCCAATCTCTTCTTAAAAACTTCCAGTATTAGAGAATTCACAACTTCTGGAGGCAAATTGTTCCACTGGTTAATTGTTCTAATTGTCAGGAAATTCCTCCTTATTTCTAGGTTGCTTCTCTCCTTGATTCGTTTCCACCCACTGCTTCTTGTCCTGCCCTCAGGTGCTTTGGAGAATAGCTTGACTCCCTCTTTTTTGTGGCATTCTTTGTTGGGCATTTGGCTACTGACCTTCATTTATGGCTGTGTGCAGTGTCCTGCAGTCATGTGACCATGTTTTGGGGTGGTTTTGCTCAAAACTTTATTTCCTGTTTTTGACAAAACAGCTCATAGCAAACCATTTCCTTAACAACTGCTGCAAATAAGGTTGTAAAATTGAGTCAATTACATGGTGACGTGATTGATGACTGTCACAGCTTATGACCATATTATCCAGGCTTCACATAGTTGTAAGTCAAGGGCTACCTGTCCTGATTATTGCTATTCCTCGCTTCACAAGCTGAAAATCAGAAATGTACAGTATTAAGCTCTCAGCTTGTATTATAACTGCTTAGAGTTCTCCTGAAAAAATGCCCTTGCAATAACAAGGAAGTTAAAAACAGCTTAAAAGTTCTCTCTCTCTTGCTTGAAGGAGCAGAGATTAGGAAAATATTGAATCATTGCTTGACGCCTTAGTTTCGCTTTTAAAATCTGCCAACTTTAAGGAACAGCAAAAACCTGCATCTTGAGGGTTAATGTTCTTCTTTTTTGCTTATCCGCTTGCTGGAGAAAAAAAGAACCGCTTTTTCTTCCTCTTCCTTCTGCCAAGTACAAAAGTCACAAAGAGCCTGCCAACCGACAGAAAATAAAATTTGAAAAGAAAAGCGAAAGGAAGCCCAGAGGGGCGAGGTCTTCATAGACGGAACGGGAGAAACAAGAATTAAGGAGGAAGGTTCAAAATGAGCGACGCCGTCGTAAGTGAGCAAGAGAAAATCCTGCAGGAATTCCATGCAGAAAGAGTTTTCCTTTCAGGAAACAAGGAATGGCTTGCAGGGAAGAATTTCTTTGTGGTGAAAAGCACGGTGGAGAGAATTGTGAAGTGGGCTTATGAATCCAGCACTGGCTTGTACCGCTTTGACCCCATTCCCGTGGGCAGCTACAACGAAGGGCTGCACCTGCAAGTGGAAAACGCGTCCAATGACTTTGACTTCCTCATCCCAATACGGTATAACTCCAAGTTGGCGCTCCGGAGCAGAACCGTCCCCATTAATTCCTCCAGCCGTCCCACCCACCAGCTCCCCACCTACATTTTTCGCTACAAAGGAATCTGTAACCGTCCTGACAAAGGGCTGCCGGTTTTTTGCCAGGGCACCAAAATGTTGGTGGATATTGAGGATGTGGCAGAGACAGATGTGCAAATCTATTGTGATAAGCCAAAATCAGCATTGGCGGAAGAGGAGGAAGAGGAGGATGATCCTGAGTATTGTAAATTAGAAATGTGCCAGGTAAGTATCAATAAGATGGCCAGGAGGAAAGGTGGCGCCCCCTAGTGTTGAAATCTGGGACATGTTTGCTGGGGAAAAGGTCTTTTTCTGCTGAGGAAAAAAAGCTTTCTTTTTCTTTTCTTTCTTTTGTGCTAGGAGAGTCTCGGCCACCATAATCTGGATCCAGAGCAAATCCTGAAGGACTTTCATCAATACGTAGGAATTGCCTTAAATCCAGGTGCACCATTTCAGAAAAATTAGCCAGTGCAATGGGAGTCCAGTGCAGGAATGGACAACTGTTAAAATAAGAGAGAGTATGTTGTGAATGCTTTAAAAAAATGGAGTGGACCTTGCAGATTCATAAAATTAATTTTCTTGGTGGGTTGGGGCTGTTTACAAAGGATTCAGTTAGCAGAAGGAACCTGATAAGGAAGGAAGGTCTGTAGAGCAAGGGGCCCTGGGCTGTGGCCCATTTCTCAGTGGTGAGTCGAGCCATGGAAGCGGCAGATGAGTGCACACAACACGTGTACATCTCCACTTCTGCAAGCAGCAGGCGAGCGTGTGTGCATGCATTCTATTTGTTCAAGTGGCATGTATGCACGCTCGCCACTCGCACAAATAGAGCTGTGCTTGTGCAAAACTATCGCCTCTCCCCCTCACACACCGGTTGGCAAAACCGGAATGTTTGGGGAACATTGCCGCGTAGAGCCTTCACCCTGCACATTTACTATTTATTTATTAAAATTTATATGGTCGCCCAACTCACGGTAACTCTTGGTGGATTACAGAAAATTAAATCCCAGTACAAAACCCAATGAACTCCCCCATACTCCCTGGGGACAACAAGGAAACAACTCTTGATGGAGTTACATGTCACCTTGGACAAGCAGTCTTCAGGGCCTTTCCAAAGGTGGGGGCGGGCAATCTTATTTCTGCAGAGATGATGACCACAGGAAGGGAGCCACCACAGAGAAGGCCCTTTTTCTTGGTTCCGCCCCCTCCCCAAGAGAGAGGACCCAAAAAGTCACTTGTTTCCCTGCTCTGGTGGGTCGGGTAAATGTAAATGGAAAAGACAATCCTTCATTTTTCTTTTTTTGAGCTAGGCAGACCTGAAAACTAATATTACACTGTCAATCATTTCAGTGTTCAAAGATCTGTCATTGTTGTGAATAAATATGGTGGAAACAAGCATTGTGCAATGTGCCAAACATCCTATTTGCCTTTTAAATGAAATAATTGTAGAAAAGTAAATCCAGATGTGACCTACTTGGTTTATATTTTCATTAAGGCCGATCCAAATAGAGGAAAGCATGCAGGCTCTTCATTAAGCCAGATGTTTCAAAAATGTTGTTTGTTTGTAAAATTTAGGGGCTCCTAGCCAGGCAAAAAGCTTTTAGAGACTTTTAGCGTATGAATAATCACATTTTTTTTCCAGATACATTAATTTGCCAATTTACTTTCAAAATAATAGCTGCTGTTGTTATTCTGCACTGCTCAATTCCCAACAACCCTGAGGTACAAATTTATGGACTTCTCGCTACAGTTAGTCCTCAACTTACAACCACAATTAGGACGAGAATTTCCATTGCAAATCAACATGGATGTTAAGCAAGCCTTTTACAGCCTTTTTTGCCACAGATAACAGATAATCTGAGTTGGAAGGGACCTTATTAAGACAATTATTAAGCAAATTAATGAAATTGTTAAATGAATCATGTCATTAAGCGAACCTGGCAGCCCTGATTGACTTCGCCTGTTGGAAGCTGGTGAGAAAGTCACAAATGGCCCTGGAACACTCCAGCTGTCAAAAATACATGCTGCTTGCCAAGTGCCCAAATTTTGATCATGTTAGAATAGAATGAGTGGGAAGGGACCTTGGAGGTCTTCTAGTCCAGCCCTCTGCTCAAGCAATTTCAGATAAGCAACTGTCTAGACCAGGGGTGTCAAACTCGCGGCCCATGGGCCGGATGTGCCACGTGCTGGCCTCATCCCCGCCCGGTTTAGTGAAGGGGGAAAAAGTTCCAATACATCACATGATGATGCCACGACAACACGAGTTTGATACCCCTGGTCTAGACTCTTCTTAAAAACCTCCAGTGATGGGGCATCCACGATTTCTGAAGGCAAGATTGATTGTCCTCACAGTTAGGAAATTTCTCCTTAATTCTAGGTTGCTTTTCTCCTTGATTAGTTTCCATCCATTGTTTCTTGTCCTGCCCTCAGGTGCTTTGGAAAATAAGTTGACCCCCTCTTCTTTGTGTCAGTCCCTCAAATACTGCAATGTTGCTATCATGTCACCCCTAATTCTTCTTTTCTTTAGACTAGCCAAACCCAAACCCAAATTCATATGTTTTAGTCTCCAGGCCTTTGATCTTAGTTGCACTTCTCTGAACTTTTTCCAAGGTCTCAACATCTTTTTTGTAGTATAATGACAAAAATTGGTTGCAGTATTCCAGATGTGGTCTTACTAGGGTTTTATAAAGTGGTACTAATATTTCACATGATCTTGATTCTATGCCTCTGTTTAATGTGACCAAGGGGATGGATTTCTCTCTTGGTGCAAGTCACGTTTTTTTCAGTGCCATTGCAACTTCAAACCATCGTTAAACCGTTTGTCAAAATACCATAGAAAGTTGTGTCTGCTGGTCTGTTCCCTGGTTCTTAAATGGGATTGTTCTTGGAATTACAACAGATTATCCTTGACTTTTCCTATTTCTCTCTCCCATCTCCCCAGAGTACACCCATCCTCGACAAAACGGTAAGTCCGGAAAGTGTAAAATGTTAACATTTTTCTATTGGGATAATATGTTGAGGGATTGGATTGGGCTCCTGGGTTCCTGTTACTGGTTTATTGGGTTTTAATAAATGAAAGCAGCGATTACAGTGATTACAGGTGATAAAACTATAAAACCAGACTGCGTTCGTTAAATTTATACTGGATTCCTCTTCAACCTTTAGATCCCGTTTTCCAACTTCGGTTGTTCCCTTCCCGAGTACCCACAATACATAATAGCATAAGAGGTAAGTTGAAATTTTTTTTTTTACTGCCCATTTTTTCAAATAAGAAACATTCATCATGAGCAGATACATCTTTGTTATCCTTTAAAATTATCCTTGTTATCCTATAAAAATTAACTGACCATAGATTAACGAATTTTAAAAATATCTTAAGAGACCCTGCATAGCAAGAAATTAGCTTCTCAGAGGTGCTTTTTCAAGAGAAACTGGACTTTCTTTGTTTTTCCTTGAAACTGTTTTGCTTCTCATAAAGAAGCTCCTTCAATATCCGACAGGTGGAGAATGGAAGGATTTATTATATCCCTTGCAGTTATATGGTTATTAGCACTCTCTCTGAGAGTAGTTGAGGCTACTTGGAAGTTTATCTGTGCCCTCCAAGTGACCTCAACAACTCTGAGAGTGAGTGTTAACAACCAGATGACTGCAAGGAATATAAATCACTCCATTCCCTACCATTCCACCAGAACTGAAAAAGCCTCTTGGATGAGAAGTGAAATGTTTTCAAGGAAAAACAAAAAAAAAGTCCCATTGCCTATTGAAAAAACACCTTTGGCACAACCATGACCTGGATGACTAAGAACCTCCATAGATTTTTCAGGAATGAATCAGATTAGGGTTAGAGGCAGATTCTTTGAATGGAACTAATGCCTTTTGGTCTTTTGTCTTTGAATTTCAAATGGGTTCCATTCCATTCCCATTGTTTGTGTCTTTACGTAACAATCTTAACCTTATTTTTAATTCAAACAAGAGGCCTTGAATTCAGTAATTTTGCTATTTGCATTTGAGCCACTTTAGAGAAGTACATTTAAATAGATCCACAACAATGAAATGTGAAATATGTACTTATGCACAAATATATACCAGAAATAAAAGTACAGGACTGTAAAGGCAGTGACTCAGAACAAAGTTTGCAATAGGAAGGGCACTATTCCAGCTCACTATCCCCAAAGAATCTATTTTAAGGATGCCCTTATGTTTGATTATATGCCATTAAGTGATGATCTGTCTCTTACTTGGTCCTTCAAGTCTTCCAAGGGTGATTCCATTGCCATGTTAACTGAGTCCATCCATCTTGATGGTGGCCATCCTCTTCTCTTTCCTTCTTCTTCTCAGCCTCAAAGCCTTCTCTAGAGAGCTGAGTCTTTGCATAATTTGTCCAAAGTAGGACAATTGTGCTTCAAGTCTGAACTCTGTCTTGATTTATTTGATGATTCATTTGTTTATATATATATATATTTTGTTCGGGTATTTTCCCACGTCATTATAGCTGTGCTTTTAAAGTTGTGGCAACGTTTCGGCAGAATCTCATCTGCCATCATCAGGCTTGTGTATTGTGTACTCACAGACGAACACAATACAGAAGCCTGATGATGGCAGATGAGAT